GTACATAGGTACGTAGGTTCGTACATATTACGCACATTATACGGGGCGTCGATCGAACACGCGCGCGCGCGCGCGCGCGCGCGGGATCAATATTTAAACGGAACGTCTCGTCATCGGCCGCCCGCATCGCGACGAGCGACACACGAGATCTCGCCTTGAATAAACGATAAACGCGAGCAGCGGCCGCGTGACGTGATCGAGCCTCGCGTATCGAGAATTTCCGAGATTTCGTAACTCTCGATGTCTTAGCCTACTCGGAAGCCGTCGACGGATCAATGGAGTCTCCTGATCCCTTTTATGCATATTAAGACTAGTGCGATAATAGGAACATGGTGTCTTCGCTTGCGGCAGACATTGAAAAACCACACTATCGGGCTATTCGGGAGAAGAAGGGAAAGGGAGGGGGAGGCATAGAGGGAGAGATATGTCATCGCTCGTACGTGGAGAAATGCCAAAAACATGTTCGATCACCAAACGGCTACGCCGTGCTCGGTCGACCTGCACCGCGATTGTTCCGATAACGTGTTTCCTCAACGCGAAGAGATCCAAACGATCGATTTCTCTTAGAGATTCCGGAGAGATTGTCCTCCCATATAAATGTACGGAGGCAGCACGGGAAAGATAGCCGTGGTTATACGGCGTGACTGCCTCGATCGGGATTTGCGGAATCACATTTTTGACGCGGTGCATCATTCACGCGAGTGAAAACTTCTGTAAGTCTTCTACTTTTAGTGGTCGCGCGCAGATCTTGCGGGACCAATACGAATAAATCGATGAAGAAAAACCTTTCGCCGACTGGGACGGAGAGAGACGGCGGGGTCGAACTGCTCGCTGTCAGCGTTCACTCGCCACGGTCCTTTCTCTGTTCTTCTAAACTAGATTCAGTCTGGAGAATTCTCTTGTATATCAATTGTATATATCAGCCTCTTACGTAGCGGAGATTCGGTCCGCTATGAACGGACGATCGCGTGCAATTAGGTGGAAAGATATGTATCCGTTAGGTTTCACGCGGCTAATCCCTCCCCCCTCGCCGGTGGCGGTGGTAGCCGCGCTGTGGGCGGTGTGGCGTCGTTTTCGGTTCTGCTCGGTGTTTCCCGGTCGAAGTGGTGCTGAAGAGTGTCGCCCGTCCAAGGCGGCACGCTAGCGGAATTCTGACTGCCACCGTTGGACGATGGCGCTCCGGGTGAATGCGAGGGCGACGGTGTTTGGAAGAGCATGGAGCCCGAGGGTATCGCGGACTTGCCGTCCACCAGGGGCCCGTTGCTGGTTGGCGCCATCGGTTGTTTATCCAGGGAGAAGCCACCCCCGCCGGCACCGTACACCGAACCGAACAGGCTCGCCGCATACTTGCCCGCGCTCAAAGAATGTGGCGGTAACCCGTTGCTACTTTGAATCACCGAAATCTCGTTCAGCTGTAAGTAATACACGCCGTCTGGTTAGGCCTTAAATCGAGGGCAATAACCTACAAAAACGAAAATAAACGGTTATTAAACGGTATCGCGGCTTAATTGCGGCTACTTTCCAAAATTCCTCTGGCGAAATACTTCGCTTAGTCGTGTGTGATTAGAGATTCTAACAAAGGGGCTTGTCGCAATTGTCCGGAATTGATTCGATTCTTCTTGAAATATATTGTTAAATACAAAAGTAGACATTTTCGTATATCGTACCCAATTTGAGATTTAAAGGGTGAAACAACCTCTCAAAGATAACGATAAGATAATGTATACATATATTTGATTCCAGTTAATTATCAATAAATTGATATAGAAAAATATTTTAGATAAAACTTTTACGGTTTTTTTATGTATTTTATAACTATATATTTAAAATTTTTTTTAAATTAATATTTTTCAAAACATCCCATTTTACATTAATATTTTTGTGAAATTTAAATTTCTTCTAGAAATAAAAAGGAAGAGTTAAAAGAAATTTTATCTCAAATTCAATCATATATAATAAAATTATTTTACAAAATATCTTTATCTTTGAAAAATAAGCTGAAAAATGTTACAAAAATGATAATGGGGGATGGGGATATTTTAAAACATATTAAATTTTTGTAAACTCTAAATACACATAAAATACACAAAAAATTATAAAAGTTTTGTCTAAAATATTTTTATATGTATCGTCCATTTCATAATTGATTGAAATTAAATATAAATGTTACTTTTGAAACTGAAATTTGAAATGTTACTGTTGTTTCACTCCTTAAATCTTATCTTCAACAAGTATATAAACAAATATATAAACAAATATAAATGTGTGTCTCTTAAATTTTTTTGTGTTTAGCAATATATTTTACAGAGAATCGATTCTGGACAGTTATGACAGATCTCTTGTAAGATAACAACGATTATTGTGCAAGGTTTTTTTTTGTTTTCAAAAGTACTAATAAAATAAAAATTTTCGCGAATTATCTTAATTATAATACAAATTTATCAGAGCAAATTTTTTTGTAGCAATGTACCTTCGATATCTATAAAACATTAACTAATGGGTCTTTGCTGGCAGAATAGTCTTTCACTTCGGACGACATAAGCATTACCTTCTGCTGGACGCCGTTAAGGAATGGCGCGGGTAGATACGGGTAAAAAAGGTCCGGTCGTCGCTGGAGAAACTCCGAGTCCTTGGGCGTGATGGGCAGAGGCGGTAGATCCAACGACATCCGTCGACCTCGACGCGACGTTCCGTTGGTGAACATGTGAGTACCCATGTGCACCTGCGGTAAAGAAACCAGGGGGGGGGGGCGGTCAGAGGCGGTATTCACGCGTCAGATTTCGATATCGGAGCTAGGCTAATCTAATCTTTCATCGAGCTCGAGCGACTTGTGACTTGTTTACGCGTTGTTTTGGCGTTAGTAGAAGCGGTAGCGGCTAGCTGGTGTTAGTAAAAGACTTTCGGGAACTTGTAGAGAGGACTCTCAGACTTTCGACTAGAGCTAGAAAATTAATGTGTTGTACCTTGAGGTTGCCTTTGGTGGTGAACGCCTTCTGGCAGACGGTGCATCGGAACGGTTTGTCGCCAGTGTGGGTTCTCATATGGATCTGGAGCGCCGAAGATGAGGAGAAATTCTTATTGCAAATCTGGCACAAGTGCTTGCTCGGCACGCCTGCAAATACACATAACGATTTCGCTAAACTGTCACTCCCTGACTTCGTGATACGTGATAATAATGATTTAATTTATAAGAACTATTATTTGTGATTTCATAAAAAAAAAGTACTCAGTCTGAGGCCGTGGCTCGTAAAAGTTATTAGAAATGCGGCACATAAGTAGACCCAGCGGCGTCCCAAAGCGGAAAAAGTTCGTGATTTTTTTTTTTTGTTTATCAGTAAAACAATATTTACATGTGTGGCACGATATAGCACCGGAAATGGAAATACGATGCCACCATAGATTACGTACGTAAGAAATTCAACTTCGCCCCACACATGAATGAAGGAACGAACAGAGCGAACGTAACCCGCCACCAGCAATTCAGCGTGTACACGGAAACTCTGAAGCGTGTAGAAATAATGATGGACAGGAGGAAGCAGGAGGAAGAGTCTAACAAAGCGTGTTGCGAAGCAGCAGCGTCGGATACTCCAAACTACGGTTTTCGTTAGCGAGAGGGGGCCGCCAATCATGATTAACAACGCGTTAGCAATGAGATCGGACCTGCCGATGCGAAGCTGAGTTCGAATAATACGTGGCGCTCGATGAAGAAGCAGATTGTAGTTTATTTTTTTTGTCTTTCTCTTCTCTCTCTCTCTCTCTCTCTTTCTTTATGAAAAAGCGAGTAGACACAAAGGATATGTTATACTTACTGGCTGGTCTTTTCGGTGCCGGCAGATCTCCTTCCGGCGGAGATCTCTTCACTGGTATCGCGGACTCGATAGACGTCGGTGGCATTGGCGGGGGTGGTGGAGGTGGCGGTGGTGGAGGCGGTAGACTCGAATCGTCGACGCACATTGGACTTCTGGAGGTTTCGTGATCCTGCTGCTGTTGCTGCTGCTGTTGCTGCTGCTGCTGCTGTTGCTGCTGCTGTTGCTGCTGCTGTTGCTGCTGCTGCTGCTGCTGTTGCTGCTGCTGTTGCTGTTGTTGATGTTTGGTATCGCTGAATAGGTGTGGCGGCATGTCGCGAATCTTGTGGGTTAACATGTGCTGCTTCATATTACCCTGTACAACAAAACATGTTCCATTGTATTTAATTATGCAGTTGATTGTGGTCTCTAGAAAAGGATAGCATTATAAATGAAATTTAGCATTTGCACGATTTGTATTAACGAATATTGCCGTTGATTGCCACGGTACAGACACACTAAAAGCTTTTATTTTAGACATGAGGAATTCATCTTGCAATTATATATTAAATTTATTTTACAAGTGAATTTTAATATGTTATAAATGAGATATCTTTGTTTTATTAAAGTAACTTGCATTATATTCGCAAATTTACGTTTTCGCATTATTGTGATAAAGTATTTTATTATAAGCGTACATTGCGATATAATTTGGTTAAACGGATAATTACGTCATTCGCTGAGGTATTAAGCTTAGGTTATTTATCGTATCGTATCGCAAAAAGGAAGGGCGCGCTATTATTTAGTTTATGTAAAAGAAAAGTAATTTGCAATTTGGCTATAATATTAATGATTGCACGAGATCACAGGACGAATGCATGTACGCTTGCTGGTAGAGGAGGCTCTTACCAGGAAGACGTGGTCCGAGGGTAGAAGTCCGAGGGCGGGTGGCATCAGCGGGGGCAGGCGGACGGCAGGATAAACAGACGTCAGCCTTCGCCCCCCTCCTGTTCCTGTCCGCCCCCGGTTCTTCCGTTCCTCAGGCCGCCGCCGCCTGCGTTTCGGTTTCTCACTATTTCCGGCGGCCGATCTCGCCGGGTACGAGCGATATTGGGGATTGGGTTGTGGGAGGATCGGACCCTTCGCGGCGAAGGGTTGGTCCGCGCAGGAACATACTTGCTGACCGGAATCGTCGTTCTGAAAGTACAGCAGAACGAGAAGAGTATAGAAGTGATGTGAATAGAGCGTGTATCAGCTTTAGGAAAAACTTTGCGTGATGGATGAGATGGACGATTAATTATTATTAAATATCAACGCATATTTTTGTAATATATTATCTTTTTAATATTATTATTATTATTATTATTATTATTATTATTTGAGATGTATATATCTTACTACAAATATATTTTGATATAGTATATCATTTTTATAAAAATTCTATATAATGGTACTCTCCAAGCCAATGTTTGAAATTAATTTAAATAAATGCAATGTATTTTGTATTATATATCAACCGATTAACTGATTAACATTTAAAATGGTTTAGGACAATTATTTTGTTAAATTATAAATAAATTAATGAATTTTTGCCTCGTAAATTTTTCTTTTCCTTTTATTGTGCGTGAGAATTTTATTTTCGGTATGTTTATTGGAACTAAATAAAGTAATATTTTTTTGTGTGCGCTCATAACATTTTCAAATTCCTAGCGGACTGTTATACATTAAGCATTAAACATGTACAAATATCTTTAAATATTATTTTATATTTGTAATAGGTATTCATAATGTTTTTATTTTTCGAAAAATTTCAAGTTTAAAACAAGTTTATATAGTAACAATGTAAATTTATTCTTGTTCTGTTTGCGGAAATTATTCACAAAAAAAGTAAGAAAATATTTTTGCAGCAGGATGCAGATATCAAAGTATATAATATCGATGTGATTAAACGTTTCACAATCAACAATGTATTTTGACATCAAGATATGAATCACAATGTAATAAAGAAACATATACAAATGACAAAAAGAATGAGAGAGAAAGAAAAAGATTGGCAATTCGCAGTTCTCGCTTCTCGAGATAAAATAGATTTAATTACCTTCGTAGAAAAACCTCGATCGCATATGCTGCATTTGAATGGTCGCTCCTTCGTATGACTCCGATAATGAATTTCCAACGCAGATTGGCACGCAAACGTCTTGTAGCAGAATTTACATGTGGTATTGCCACGTACTGTAACAAATTGTATCACTTTACATTTCCAATCGGATCTTTTGTCTACATATATTTCGGCGAATTATTCCAAAAGATTTTTAACACATCGCGTTTTTATTTTGCTCTCACGATGTATCCCATTTTTCCGCGATTTTTAGAATATAATATATACCGTCGAAAAAGAATATGATCGATATCATTTTCTTTATGAGAACCGTGTTAGTAAGAAGTAATTTCTGCTAATATTAGAAAAAAGTTTTTCTTTGTATTTATTAAAGAATACTCATTATAGAAAACTTTAATTAACTTTATATATTTCTAAAAAAATAATATTTTTTATGCATTGTTAAGAGAATATAATGCTGTGATACTTGTTTCATATAAACAATTAGAAGATAACAAATACATGGAAATTATTTCAAAATCATGAAGTTTATATTAAAATATTTATCAAATTAAATATATGTTGAATATAGAATAAAATATTACGATTGTCGATAGGGATATTGTCAGTAGGAGATTTATTATAAAATATAAGAATAGATTAACTTATTTCGATTAGAGTTCTCTATATTCTATATCTGAAAGTGGAAAATAGGTCACTAAAATTGAAACCTTATGATATGAATATAAATAGTCAAGTAATTGTATTGCGCCATATTATAAATTGATTTAGCGATATTTGTTTCAAAATTATCTTGATAAAAATCGTTTCGAAAATACCAAGATGTTATCAATTATAACAATTAGAGCATTTATTAATATATAATCGTGATTTTGTTGCAATTGTTTACGTACGCATTGCAGTTTTATAGTAATTTAAAGATTATGTTAATCGAATTCTTTTCTCAATAAATTATACGTATTTAACCTACTAAAATTGCGTCTTTCAAAAAATTGATAGTCTTTATTATTCTTGCGATAATAACTAATATCTACTTTTAAAGTAAGTAATTTATCTAAATAGAATAAAATAGAATAAAATAGAATAGAATAATAGAGAAGATGAAAATGATTGTGATGCAAGAATAAATCGTACAAAAAAATTTGGGGATAAAAATTTATTTTTTCTAATATATATTTATTTTTTCTATAATATTCTTTTTTCTATATTACTAGAATCATCATTGTTCTGAGTATTATACTAAAGATCAAAGTCATCACTCATTATTTATAATAATATAATTTATAAATAAAGTTAATTATACGTAGAAGTATTACGTAAATGTAAAATAAATGTAAAGTAAAATGCTTCATCAAATGAATAGTTTGAAGTCGGTATAAATAGATATAAAAGATTTTAAGTAAAATTGAAAAGGATAAAAAGTAAAAAGTAAAGAGATGGGAAAAGTTATATCTTTCCTCCGCACTTTACACTAGAAAACCCAATTTTACTAATTCGATTGGGTTAAATTCTCCAGATGATAGCTTTGTTTTTTTCTCCGTGCAACTATTTTTCAATTTTTAACATGTTTAAATATTATGCATACATATTTTATTTCAAAATTGAATCAAAATCCATTTTTCCATCCCCGTGCTAATAAACTTTCTGTTTTAACCAAAATTAATCTTAATAGCGTTTTCGGTTGTTCCGAGAGCGATTATTGACGATTATAGTTTTCTTAAAGCATTTCTTAAAGCGAGATGAACATAGGATGCGAGCATTGAAAGAAAAAAAACGAAAAAAGCAAATGCAGTTAATGGTGGTTAAAACCCATTGCAATCGAAAACACTATTATTTGAAGCTGACTTTTCTACGCATTTATTTTTTGTATTTAATAAACAATAAACAACTGTTAAATTATTAACGAGAACATATTCGTATAAATAAATAATGATATCGTTTTTTGCCATATTTTATCATATTTTATAATTTATAATTCATATATTTTATAATTTGTACTTATAATTCATATAATTTATAATACATACATTTATAATTTATAATTTATAATTTCATTTCTTTTTTTATAATTTGTGGTATTCATATCAAGATATAATCTTGATAATATGTATTAAAGTATTAAAGTATTATATGTATTAAAAGTGTAATCCTGGGATAAGATAGGAATTGACTAAATTTTTATCACATTTATTTTAAAATAAAATAAAAAAGTAATCGTCTTTTTTTATATATTATAATATTAAAATATTATAATCGATACATATTAAAATATTGTACCTACAATTCAAATTAAAATACAAATTGTAATACAATTCAAACTACAAGATAACAAACATTCGTGTGGTATGATAATTTTGTACTTGTCTTTTGTACTTGAATAATTTTCCTAAAATCTTTTTTGATAATTATATTGACTTTCTTATTTCTGATTATTATTTATTCAGATATGATCTTTGATCATTACTTTTACAAAAAGTAGAGACCCTTTTAATTGACTAAATTAACTTAAAATTTGTTTAAATCAAATTCGTCTTTTTTTTTTACAAATTATTTAGTACATATTAGTTTAGTACATATTAGTTATAGGATAGATACAGCATATAAAATAAAGAGTTTGCAATAAATAAATTGTATGTAGACTTTTTGTAAAAGTAATGATCAAAGATCATATCTGAATGAAAATGATCACCTTAGCCAGAAATCGAACCTGAATCTCTTGCTTACCGGGCATACACACACACACACACACACACACACACACACACATAATATATATATATATATATATATATATATATATATATATTATAATATATATATATATGTATATATGTCCATTTGTTGACGTGTTGTTCTAAACACGTTATTTGCGATAAATATCATCACATGCCTCTGTGGTCAAAAGGATAAGATGTCTGCCCGGTAAGGCAGGAGATTCAGGTTCGATTTCTGGCTGAAGTGATATCTTTCGCAAAAATAATAATTACGAATTTTCACAACTAGTTCGTGGGCCCCGCCGTGATGCACATCCTCCCTTCTATTTGGGGATATTAAATAACATTTATTTCCTAATATATATGTGAATTATAAGTGCTAAATATATTCTGAATAAAAAGCTTTAATAATAAAGTAAAAAAACAATATTGATAATAAAAAACAATGTTGACATAATAATAGAATTATTTTAACACATTTGAAATATTGGAATAATAATATGTATGATGTATGTCATTATTGTTAATTGTTAAATTATTAATATTATCGTTCTCCAATTATATATGCTGGTTACTACTTGGCTTCAAAACAGTTTTTTATTAAAAAGCTGAAATATTTAAATTAATATGAATAATTTAGAATATGTGGGGAATCAAAATACGCATATACATAAACTATATATTAAATTGCACGCATAAAATCAAATACAGTTTTATTTTTCCTTTTTATTAAAAGTTTTATTAAGAAACACAATGTTGCAATTTATTAGAAAACAATGTCAAAATCATAATATTTAAAATATTTTATGTAAAATTTTTTATTTGATACTAAATTGTACACAAATTAGCACGCATTAATTAACATTGTAGTTTAATCTTTAAAATATCTACTATCACAAGTTCACATACACTCTTTTTGTACTTGTATTTCTGTACCATATTTTTATATCGATTTCTCAAATATCTTAGGATGTATATTTGTCTTTTGTTTTTTTTGTTCTATTTTTACGCACTAATATTTTTTTTACTAATTTTTATCATATACGAAAAGATCAAATCAAGCATCAAATTAGATAAAATTGACAAATTAAAGGAAAAATTAATTGCATGGTGACTTTAATCAATTACTTCTAATTTCAATTTTGTTTTGTAAAGTTTACAATAATTGTGCCAAAATGTTACTATTGAATTATATTTTCATATACAGAATTTCGGCCATAAAATTCAATTTTTCTTAATAAAAAAGAATTGAGCTTTATTGGCCCAAATTCTTCTTTCTTTTAAGATCATAAAAAATTAAATTATTTAACTATATATAATAAAAAGACGAATTCTTCAAAAAAAATCATTTGGGAGAAATAAAGCTAAAATTAAGCCAAGCGACTTCAATAAGACATTTGATACTTGATTATATCTTTTGATGATCAATTGATACTATTAAAAATATAAAAATATAAAAATTTCTTTTTTTTTACGTTACATGCACATGATTGTACGTGCATTAATGCAATAACTACATATTCTTTTTTAAAAATAAATATGTATTTTTTTATTTTAATTAAATCATTTCATTATCTTGTATAGTATTAAAATCATTTCATTATCTTGTAAAAGTATTAAAAAAAAGTCATCAGATATTTTATCACATATTTTATATTTTATGATAATTATATTTTTATGATAAATTTTTACCATAAATATTTTTTTTTTAATTGTTAAAATGTTTTTATAAATTTAATTCTTATTCTTACATCTTTTTTATGCAGATTATTCTCAAAAGACGATTTATACAAAACTAGCATTACATATAGGATTCATGATTTGTGATTTTGCAACTGATGTAATAGATTTAATAATATATACATATATATATATATATAATATATTTATATATATTTATGTATATTATATTCTGATTTTTTAAATATTTTTCTATTAATTGCTATTAGATAGTAATTGAAATTATAAACCAAATATTATCTTTTTATACAAATTCTAATGAGAATTTATATATAAATTTATACAAAAATAATATATAACACGAGTTACAGATTATTTAAAATTATTTATAAAAAGTTTAAATAAAAATTGTCAATTATTTTAGGTCATCGATCTAATATCAATTTATAATTATGAACAATATGATTATTTCTTTCAAATTGATATTGACAGAAATTCATAGAATTGGTCAGTGATTCGGTCTCGCCGCAAGTCTCGTCTCGATCTCGATTTAATCTCGAAATTTTCAGTCTCGTGTCGATATCAGTTTGGTTTCGACAATGACAATCTCGTCTCGATCTCAGTCTCAAGTCGAGACCCTCGGTCTCGATAATAATAATGTGTTTTTTTTTTTTAATTCCTTCTATGCGATTAAACTTAAACTATCCACTATTTTATTAATTAATTAAACCTTTCAATTTTCACTATTTTATTAATTTGTGTACTTTAAATGTAGTACTTTAAATAATTTTTTAACACGGAGCAAGTCCATGCATTTCTAAATTAAAGAAAGAAGAAAGAAAAATGAAACAAATAAAGATTATTCATTATTGACAATTATTTATTATATTTCTTATCATTTTATATTATTGATAAAGTAGCCCTTCCGATGCACGAGCGTGGTATAGCAGACAGCGCACTAGTCTGTTTTACGTCAGAAGTTCCGAGTTCGATTCCCGACAGAGAGCCAACAAATTTTCATGCGCTCGTGTTCCCTCTCGGAAGGCAACGGCAAATTACCGAGAGTATCTTTTGCCATAAGCATCTCTTTAATAAAGCTTGTACTTGTAGAAAAAAATGATTGTACATTTTGAAACAATTGAACCAGACGAAAATGATATACGTATTGATCCTCTGTATGTACACGAAACAAATTAAAAGAAGTCCAATTCAAGAAGTGTACATAAATGCGCCAAGCGTATCGTCCGAAACACTAGAATTGGTTTGAAAATTGATTTCTTATCATTATCCGTTACTTTTTATTTTTCTTTTAATTTGGATATCATCTACGTGTTTTAATGGAACCTACTTGCCTTTCTTGTATCCTTTCCAATATATATACGGACATTGTTCGTCATTATATTAATGTAGAATGATTAAGTTCCAGTTACATAAGAGAATATTGAGAACGAATCTTCACTTTTGATCTTCTAAATAACAAAAAAAAAAAATAAATAAATAAATAAAAACATTCAAAAACTCTAACTGTAGAAATAGCGTGAATATATAACGATAAGTAAAAATTGTCACATAAAATAACTTGTCATATAAAGAATATGATAAAAATAATGTAAATTTAAAAAGTATAATGACAAAGAAAATAATAAAGTATAAGATATAATAATAATCTACATTATACGCGTATAATAATGTAGAATTATATACATGAGAGACAAAGAGAAAGAGAAACGATTACAGAAACAAAGGTTATATAAGAAAGAATAAAAAAAAAAAAAAAAGAAAAGTTTAGATAACAGGAGAATGGGAGTGCTAGGTCCAGCTACACCACATACGGAACGTTGATATGAGACTGGATGAGACGGATGACACGGTCACACGGAGAGAGGTGTACTTGGCAATTTTGGACTTAGCGATTCACGGAGCGAAAGAAATTAATGATCGTAGTTCGGAGAGACAGTGGGGGGTGGGATAAGGTGTAGCAGGAACCGCAGCCCGCCCGCTGATGCTAGCAGTTCCTACCTGCTGGCCCTCCGACAGCTAGGCCGAGCGGATTGTAGGTCGATGACGCGGCTAGCACGGCCGAAGTGGTCAGCGAGGCTAGTGGTCCACCGCCGGGTCCGCTTCCCGGATTGACGGTGGCGCTCATCGAGGTGACGCTGTTTATGTTCGACGTGCCGATTGTGCTGGTGGTGGGAGAGGACGAGACCGCTTGTAGTAGTCCCGCAAACATGCCGAAGGGATTCGGCGGGTGGTGCGACCCAGGCTGAGGCGGCGGCGGCGGCGGCGGCGGCGTCGGCGACGCCGAAGCCACCGACGCCGGTGTGGACGACGCGCGGGGCGTCAGATCGAGGGGGGCGCCGGAGGTTGGCGGGCTATTGCTCTTTTCGCTACCGTTGTACCGATGAAAGGAAGGCGATCTGGCCATGTTCGTGGCCGTCGTGGCCATCGTCGTGATGGTCCTCACTTGATTCTCGAGCGCCGCCAGCGAGGTCGAGAATATAGGAAGCGTCACGTCCTTGTGCTCCGTCGTATCTTCGCTTTCATGGTCTTGCTCCTCTTCGACCTCGATGCTACGCCTATCGCGATTCGGCTCGCTCCTCTCGTCGTCCTCCCTGTGATCTTGTTCCTCGTCCTCCTGATCCTCCATTTCTTCGCTGTGCTCCTCCATAAATCTCTGCCGTTGATGCTGAGAGTCCTCCTTCGCCTCGGCATCGCTCTCCTGCGATTGTTGCTCAATGGCTGTTTGCCTGGATGGGGGGAATCCTAAGGAAAAACCCGCGCTAGTCGGATGTATCGGCGGAAATCCTTGTGGAAGGAATGATGCCAGCGGATGAGGGTAACCGGCCGGGAACTCATTTACCTCCGCAGCTTGGATCTGTTCCGGGCTGAGATCAGTGGGCTCCCCGGTATGAAGACGTATGTGCTGCTGCAGTACGAGAGCATTCGTGAATTTCTTGTGACATACGGGACACTGGTGCAACACTCTCAGCGGTGGTTTAGCTCTGTGCACCCCCATGTGGGTTTTCAGATTACCCTTCGTCGTGAAGGCGCGACCGCAAATTTTACACTTGAAAGGACGCTCGCCGGTGTGAGTGCGATAATGCATCAGCAACGCGCTCTTGCATGAAAGCACCCTATGGCAAACGATGCATTGATTAGGATCACTCAGTTTATGCTCGATATTATCGACCAGCTGCTGCAGTTTGGACGTCTCCGAGGTTTTCGTTATTTCGATCAAGCTTTCCCAGGAATTGTCATTGCTGCCCGGTCGCGGTAACAGGGTCGAATAAATGGCTGGATCCTTGGCCGGATCGATTAGAGCTTCGCTTCCGGACGCCGTGGACGGTCCTGCTTGCGTAGAGACAGGAAGATGAGGAATTTGATGATGAGGGGGACCTGGGAACAGAATTCCGGCGAAAGATGTCTGTAGACTACCACTACTCGCGCTGCTGCTGGCTGGTGACGCTCCTGGATACGCTATGATCTGTTGGGATAAACGATTGATCGTACCTCTGCTCGAGAGGTTTTCAGGTTGTTCCTCTGTTTCCTCGTCCACTTCCATTTCTCCGTCGCCCTCTAAACGTCCACTGATCTTACTGTCCATACTACAATCCTCATATGTTTGCGGCTGGGACGGTGGATTTGCGGAGTGAGGTGAATTAAGGTATCGTCTTGTTTCCTCAAAATCTTCGCTCTCTTCCTCCGCGACTTCTTCCGCTTCTTCGGGTTCTCTCTTCGGTGTTATTCGTTCGGTGCCCTCCCGGCTCATCGGTCGTTGCTGATACTGCTCCTGTCCGGGCGATCTCTGTTCAAGCTTTATCTCCTCTCTTTGCTCAAGCTGCTGCTTTTGATGTTGCTGATGATGATTGTCGTGAAAGGGATGACGAGAATTCGATACGGCAGCGGGGGAAGTGGGAGACGTTTGTGGGACGGTAATTATGGGTTTACTAAGATTCTCCGGGACATCTTGATCGTCCCGGTGATTAATAACCGGGGATCGGTAAAGAGGTGTCATATTGGATAAAGTGAGAGTACTCAGTGGTATAGGGGGTTGTGGGGGAAGGAAACCGTGTGTTGCTGCCGGATGAAACGAAGGATGGTGAGAGGATGGCGGTGGCGGCGGCGGCGGGGACGGCATTGGTCTCTGCCCGGAAGCTGCGATTTGCTGCAAGAGGGGTGGATGATATTTATCTAAATGTTCTGGAACGGGATTCGGATTCATCTTAACATGTGGAAATTTGGCCGTATGCCTTTGGAAGTGGACCTTCAGGTTGCCCTTGGTTGTGAACCGACTGCCACATACGTTGCACTTAAAGGGTCGCTCACCTGTGTGGGATCGTATGTGGATCTGTAGCGCCGAGTCGCTACCGAAGACTTTGCCACAGAAGCGACAACGATGCTTGAAGAAGGGCTCGCCGCGACCGCCGCTTGATTTCGAATCGTATGGTGATAGTCGCGAGCCCTTGCCTCTAAATGCGAGCTCGTCAGCCAAATTGTTGGCTAGTCCCTGGCTCGCGTTATCCAGCACCTCCTGAGCACGTTTCTGAAGGATATCCAGAGTGTTCGGCTCGTGAAGCGGTGGCGGATCGGTGTTCGTTATGATCGACGAAGCAAGGGATGCGCTTATCGAGCAAAGCGGCGGCATTTGATGCGGCATTGGAATTTGGGTGCTGGTAGTCGTGGCGACAGTTGAAGTCGTGCTGGATGAAGATAGGGGTAGATTCAAAGGAGAGGCGCTGCTCGTCGAGGTGGGTCGTTCCTGAAGCAAATTCGGCGTCAGCGGCGCCGGTGATGTTTGCTGATGATGACTCGGCGGACGAGAAGAGGGAGGTGACGCGAGATTCGACAGTGGTTTCGAGTGAATAATAGGTGACGACGAGGCCTCTTTGCTGTCGGTCGACTCCGTCGCCGATGTTTGCATTATCGATTGCCCGTGGGTAATCAACAATTGTTGCTGAAGTTGTCGAATCAACTGTAATTGCAATACCTGTTGATTCTGAAGGGTGCACAGTGTGTTTTCCACATGTGCCAGGTCTTGTAATGCCGCTTCGCTGTCTGCCCCAGCGAGGGCAGTGGCAGCGAACTGGGCGACCGCCACCTTTGTATTCTGAAGGGCTTCAAGGGTAACGTGACTAGTTCCAGGTGGCGGAAACATAGCGCTAGACAGACTGCTCTCCACAAAGTTATTGTTGTTCTCCGCGTCCTGTCGATGGTGAATCTGTTTGCGCGAGCCCTCCTCGTCCTCGTCCTGCTCGTCTTGCTCATCGATACCTTCTTCCTCATCCTCTTCCATAGGATCATCGGCTTCGTCGCCTTGATGAGATCTCGTCGCTGTAAGATCCACGGCTTCCTCGCCACCTCCTCCTCCACCACCGCTCTCTTCTCCGTCTGATGTAAAGTCATTTTCTTCTCCTGCAAAATAAAATGATGAAAATTGATAAATAATAAATCACTTTTTTCATCTGCAATTAATATCAGCTTATAAATGTTTTATATATACTTGTGTGTGTGTGTGTGTGTGTGTGTGTGTGTGTGTGTGTGTGTGTGTGTGTGTGTGTGTGTGTGTCT